AACAGTCAAACGGAAAGCTAGGGCATCACCTCCCCCTCATCTCCCCCCTCATCCCCCTCTCCCCAAGCACCTTCCAACGCCCCTTCACAACCTCACTGATTCCACTCCCTAGCTTCCATCCTACCCCGTTCATAGCATCGCTTGGAACGTGGGGAGCGAGTATGGCTTGGGGGAAGGAGGTGGGATGGGTAACGGAGATTGCTGCAGGATGACTAGAGCTTGCTTGAGGATGACTATGAGTTGAGCTCGTAAAAGTACCCTCCGCCTCCGCGTCCATATCTTCGTCCAAAGCGATAGGAACCGCAGCACTGGTGACAATCGTAGCGACCCCAAACTCCGACGGATGAGGCTGATACGGCGCAACCTGTACCGAGACATGCTTCAGCCTAGCTGGCGAGCGGGAGGAGGAAGGGGACGTCCATCGGGAGTCTGGGGTCGTGTCCGAGCTCGAGCCATGCGCATGTGTATCAGAACCCGGGGAGAAACAACACCCCTCCCCCTCCCCAACCGCAGGCCCCAACACTCTCGACTCCACAGCACTCGTGAACATCGCGCCCGCGTCGTTCGGCGCGAAGAAGACGTTGCCGAGGTCGAGGAATTCGAGCGCGGGGAAAGGAAAGTGCGGGAGTACGAGATCCGAGTTAGAGTCTGAGTCTACGAGGAGTTTGGGTTAGTGGGGATAGGGAAGGAAGGAGCGGGATAAGAGGGACTTACAAGATGACGAGACCCCCTGTGGTGACTTTGGCCACCTAAACCTAACCGCGTCGCAAAAGTACTGCCCCACAAACCCCGGGAGGTCATTCGCCACCCGCACCCCGTCTTCCTCTCCTGCCGGTATCCGTTCGCGAGGCCACTTAACACTAACCCTCCTCACACACCTCTCCATCTCCCTCAACACCACATCCATTAGAACCCTCTCTCCCACGTCCGCAGCGTTACCAATCGTCAACGCCGTCACCCAGCAACATGACGTTCCGAGCATGGAAGCTAGTAGGTGGGCGCCTGCGTTGGTGAGTATGCCAATTGAGAGAGTGAGGAGGGCGGGGAGGTGGAGGGCGGAGATGAGTGGGGTGTCAGGGGTTGTGAGTGAGGAGAGGGTAAGGGTTGTTAGGAGGGGGAGGCGGATGATTGGGTGGGGTGTTGTTGGTGTCTCGTTGGTAGTGGGGATAAGCGGAGGTGGAGCGGGCGGCGGTGGTGTAAGCTTGCGATAAAACAGCTCCAGGGAGGTTAGCGCTTTCGTCTGCCCGAGGAGAGCGAGCAAGGTGCGTGCGTCCGCTACGTCGTAGTGTAGAGCGAGTTGAGTGAGCTGGTTCCATGGTGCCTTGAGCGAGCCGAGGGAGACGTCGACGTTGTAGAAGACGAGTTTCCGCAGGTTGGGTGCGACTTTCAGTGCGTCGAAGCTGTTGTGGCTAGGGAGTGCTTGTTCGTCGAGGTTGGCAGGAATGACGGTTGCTACGCCCATTGGGTCAACGGCCACCACTGCTCCTCCATTATTGAGCAAACTACCTCCGAAGTCCGAGCTCAAGCCACGTTTATACCACTCGAAGCTGCTCAACCTCTCAAACGTCCCCCTCATCGCCAACATCTCGCTCACCACCCCCCAACTCGCAGTGAACTTGACATCGCCCCACCTCCCACTATGCTGCAACAAGTTCTTGATCACCGGATGATGGCTCTTCGTTCCACGCCAAACTTTGACGTGTAGCTTGAGGGGGACGGGGGCAGACCGGGCGATACGGGTGGTTAGAAGGGATAGCGTGTAGTGGATGGAGCGGAAGGATTCTTTGGGGTGGCCGAGGCAAAGGTCGATGCGGGACCAGAGGGTGGGTGTAGAGAGTGTTAGGTGGCGGAGGGAGCTGGATATATGGGAGAGGGACCAGGGGGCGCGGCGGGTGTCGACGGCGTCGTCGTGGTAGCGGTCTGGGAGGAGGCAGAAACGGAAGATGAGGAGGAGGAGTTCTGTGGGGAGACGCATGAGGGGTGGGGGTGATGGGGCTTTTGATTCCGGTGGAGAGGTAGAGCTAAGGAGCTGAAGTCGGCGTTGTTGGAGACGGTAGATAGTTTGATCTATGAGCGAGAGTTCTGCGGCTGGTGATAGCGAGCGCGAATCGGAGTGGCCGCATTGCTGGCAGCATGGTTGTTTGGACGAGGCGATCCTCGACGTCATCCTAGCACTACTTCCACTGGTAGGCATTTCGCTCGCTTCTAAGAGATCTAGATGGACTCGTTCTTCCTGCGAGTCGTGCAAATAGCTACACGGGGAGAAGGTGAGAGTTCGAAGGGTGAAATAAGGCTAGGGAACTTACTTATTATAATCCATGGGAGCTATACATCACTTTGCGGGGAAATCAACGGAACGCGGAGAGTGTTTGACGAGATTCCCGAGTTCGGTGACGGTGGAAGATTTTCGTCTCCCGCTTTGCGCGACCTTTTACAGTACTCTCCTTTGAGCTCGAGAGTTGTACAAGGTCGAAGAACGGAGAGTGAGCTGAAGATAAGTAGATTGTCAACGGTCGTGTGCACTATTTACTCCAGCAGCGGGGAGAGGCTAGTGGTGCTGACTCAGCAATTGTCGGCCAGGAGAGACGGCCGCGGATATTCACGGGACCGAAGCCGAGCCTCACTCAACTTGGTTTACACGGCTCTGGACTAGGTTCGGAGCAAGCCTTCTGGCGAAGGGCACTGTGCCACCAAACTTTGATGGATTTGTCAGCAGACTTGATCCGAACCTACGAAATTGAAGCGAAATGGCATCAATATTTGGGCAACGGTAGTCCGAGATAGTTACTTGAAGTGAGGTGAGGTGGAGAGAAAACGAAAGACTGAGTTAAGTGCAATATCAGTTGCGCGTCTTTTCCTCGAAAGGGGACCACAGGTGTCAGTCCTCGTGACCGCGTTTCTAGTGTTCTTTTGCCACAACTCGACCATTTCCATCGCGCTTAGTACAATTCTCGCCGTAAAATCAATCGGCTTGAAGACGTGTAATAGTCTTAGTTAAAACGAAAAGAATGTGAAGGACTGGCCACTGCTCTGAGCCGACTCAGGAATCAAGACTTGAAGCGTGTACAGTAGGGAAAAAATTCTGAATTCGCTAGTTGCGCAATAAAGACGATACCATGGAAATGTACAT